CATCCAGTTTTTTGGTTAAAATTATTCCACAAATAACTTGATCCAGATTTTAAATTTTTAACTATATTAAAAACTGGGAACTCAAAAGCTGAATCTCTGCCTAGCTTAGACATATTTTCCAGTTGCTCTTCTTACTAACCATACGATCTTGGGCAAATTACTTGATTCTATGTATCAGTTTCATCCTCTGTAAAACAAGGACAATCATAATACTGCCCTCATGATGATACAAACATGAAATGATTGCAAACGGCATGCAGTGCCTGGCACATAGTTAGTACTCAATAAATACTCGTTGGAGCTATTTCAGTGATGATTATCCCAAATGCTGTAGTATTCTATAGTCTCAGACTCTGGCAAAACTAACTGGTTGTTTTGTGGCAATCAATTTTAAATTTTCTATAGAACTCAAAGTCTACATTCAAAAGGTCCAATGTCCTTTTATCCGCTGATCAGCACCTGTATGGATACAATTGATTCTACAGTTGCCAGGAAGCAAGACTTCGATTTCTGAAATCAACGGTCAGCTACATCACAGGCAGAAAGGAAAACTGCTGCCATAGCAAAATTGTCCAGCATCACAATTATCCAGTGGAAAGGAAAGGAGTGAAGGTTTCCTTTATCATTCCCACATCAAGGCACTTAATGGAAAATGGCATCACTGTTTCTTATCTGATGCTGAAACTTTTCTCACTATTCCTTTGGATTCAGCATTAGGTTCAGTTCGTTGGTTACTTGGTCCATGTTAAAACATAGAATTTGTCTAAGTACCAATTCAGACTCAGTGTAACTGTATGTATCTGAAATCCAACTAAAGAGCTTAAATAGAGAGCTTTACTTTCTTAAGAAAGCTCTTGAGATCGGCAGGACAGGGCTGGAGCATCAGTTCTGTGACAGGATTATTCTCCCAGGCCCTTTTATCTTTCTGCTTCATCTCCCTTTTCAAGAGGCTCTCATCCTTATGATTGTAATTGGTTGCTGCATTTCCATACCACATCTGCATTTAGGCAACAAGAAAGGAAAATGGCAATGGGTGAAATATGCCAAGTGTGTCTTTCTCTCAGGATATCTATATCTTTCCTGGAAGCTCCACTCCATTGGCCTACACATAACATCCTACCATCTAGAATTACATCACATGGCTATTCTTAGATGGAAGTAAGTGGTAGGAGGTAAACAGTTAACACTGCATCGTATCACTGAACAAAACTGAGTTCTCTTAGTAACACAGAAGAGGAGGTTGAATGTTAGTTACATAATTAACGGTGTCCACCTAAAGGGAAGAAGCACGATCTTACCCTTTGTAGCAAATGCCACATTTTTGTGCATATGTGTATAGTCAGCAGGGCTGTCAGAACACTCACCACCCTAGATCAGCAGATGCCTTGTCTATCAGGACTAGAGTGCAATCCTCCAATTGTTCCTCCTGCTTCCACCCTCATCCCTGAAATACCTTACAATGGAGGTTGGTGAATTTTTTCTGTCAAGGCAATATAGTAAATATTTTAGGCTTTGTGAGCCATAAACTCTTGGTTGCAACTACTCAACTCTGCCTTTGCAGTGCTCAAACTATCAGAGCTAATATTTAAACAAATGGGTATGGCTTTGTTCCAGTAAAACGTTATCTACAAAAACAGACAGCAGGCTGGATTTGTCTATCCTGCCATTATTCACTGGTCCCTCCTCTACAATATTACTAGTTTTTGTGTTTGTTTTTCTGCTGAGGAAGTTTTACTCTGAGCTAACATCCATTGCCAATTTTCCTCTATTTTGTATGTGGGTCACCACCACAGCATGGCTTCACAAGCCATGTATAGGTCTGTGCCTGGGATCTGAACCTGCGAATCCGGGCCACTGAAACGAAGCACACAGAACTTTAACCACTCAGCCACAGGGCCAGCCCCACAATATTACTAGTTTTTTTGTTTGTTTGTTTCTAAACTTATAGTCAATGCAAATATCACTCATCCTTGAGCACACAATGTAAAGTGAATTTCTCCTTCCACTAAGTTTCATATCACCTTTTATACATTCATATTACAATATGCATTAGATGCTATTATGATGTTCTTTTTCCAAAATAGAGTTCCCATACACACACAATTTCTAATGTTCATCCTAAAGCTTGCCACACTCTTTCAACAGAATCATGCCTAAAACTAAAATAGTAGAGGGATTTAAAGCCTACTCTGCTTTGTCCTTTTTCTCTACTCTTTCAAGTATTAAATATTTCTCCCTCACTCACACACGTCACTGTAAAAGAATTTAAGAATACCTAGGTATTGCTCATCCCCATCCTCCTCTCCAAGCCCTAGATGAGGAATTTAAAATGTCTTGACTTGTTCCCAAGTCCTCAAACTACAGCCTTTGCTGCAATAATTCCTTTATGCTTCATGATTCTTAGACTGTGCAGTATCCTTTAGCATCCTCAAAGTACCCATTTAGATTTAACTGTGTTCACACACATGCAAATATTTCAGTCTGCATGTCTGATAACTCTTTTCCTCTTTGTGTCATTTTCTTTGGCTTTTCCATCTCTTTTCTGATTCACTTCAACTACTTTCAATTTCAACTATTTTCTCAAATATTTTTCTAGGTAAGGTCGGTGGATGATATACTTTCTGAATCTTTCTCCAAATATTACTTTCACCCTGACAAATGAATCATGTTTTGATTGAACAAAGGATTTGGGTTTCAGACTTTTCTCTGTAGGCTGTAAATGGTATTCAACTGTCGACCAGATTCCAATATTTCAAGTGATAAATATGACATGAATATATTTTTTCCTTGGTCGGTAATTTAAAAACTCTGAGTGGTAGTAAAATTTTCTCTTTATATTTAGGCTTTAGGAACTTTGCCAGGATTTACCTAAGTTTTATTCTTATTTGATTAACCCCTTCTGGAATTCAGAAAATCTATTAAATTTGTAAATTCAGTATCTTCTTCACCTCAAGGAAAAAATACTATTGTTTTCTCCTTCATCTTCTCTTTTTTGCTCTCTGGGAACATATGTTATTCAAATGATAGCTCTAATGAACACATCCTCCAAGTTTCATCTTTTTTCCCATCATTTCCATATTTTTGCTCTCTCATTTTTAGTTATCTCTTCCAGTCTGGTATGTTCTCAAGTTCCAGGACAATAATTTGGGTTTTATCAGTGACCATTCATGCTTTAGTCCATATACTGATTTTTTATTGTTTACTTATTTGTAGAAAACGTGGCTGTGAGTTACAGAAATCTCCTTGTAGTGCTCTTAAAACACGAGTGCTCTTTTTATGTACTGTTCAATACACTGTCTTTCTGGGTAATGGTTGCTCAACAGCAATCCATGTTTTTCACTCTCTGGTGCTCTGCCCCCTATTGTTGTGGTGGTTTTCCTTGTGCTCCTTGGGGTTCCTACATAGCTTCTGGAAGTACCTTACCAGTGACATCCTCAAAAATGGTGGCTTCATAGAGCTCTTTGCTTTTGTCAGACAGAAGTGTACTGGCAGATGGGCGGTCAGTCCTTTGACAATGCGCTAAGAGGAAGTCTGTTCTAGAGTTTCCACACAAACTCTCACCAGCCAGCATTAACAGTGTTGAGCTCTTCAGTCTCCTGTTAGCTTTCCTTAGAGACCAATGAGCTTGAGTTACTTTTGGGCCTCTCCACAGCTCTCTGAGGCTGGTCCTTGTGTTCTCCTCTGGTCCAGAGGGAGCCAGTTTGGTAACTGCTTTCTCTCCTGAGATTCTGGTCAAGAAGAACTTAGTCTCCCTTTCTAACGTGTCCCCAGCTGTTTCAGGAACTATCTGCCTAGTTCAAGAGAACTAAAATGGGATGGAGTTGGGAGGGGAAGAAACTATAATCTTCCATTGAAAAACCATATGTATATGAGACGAAGGATGCTGACTAAACATATTGTAGTAATCATTTCACAATATACAAAAGTTACTATGCTGTACACCTTAAACATATACCGTGCTATATGTTAATCATATCTCAATAAGCTGGAAAAATTTTCCCAAATTAAAAAATAACCAACCTGATGTATATGATTACACAAAGTGATATTACTAATGACTAAAATAACCTTAATTTAAAATAATATGCATATATATATAGTAAACTTAAATATATAACATCTTTGTTCAAAAAATGTGTTCTAAATTCAAGCTTAGAGTCTCACAGAGATAGTCAAAAAATTATCATAGTGGAAATTTATTTTAATTACATTTAAAAATTCATCATATGAGATAAAAATAAAAGAAATGACTAGACCGCAGAAATCTGTGAATGGTGGGACAGCCCCATATCACCAGAGTGACTGGAAACCTAGATCATAATTTATCAACTGCAGTGTAGGCTTTGCATGCAGGACAACCTGGAGTCAATTTCTTCTCAGTCATTTTCTAGACAAGTGAATTCAGAAAACTTACTTAAGTATTTTATGCCAGTTTTTTATATCTTTAAGTAGTATTCAAAATACTTCATAGAGTTGTATATTTTAAAATGTTATGCAAATGCTTAGGAGTACCTGAAAATTTTATTGATGAATGTAGCTATTACTTGTACTATTAGTACTATTATAATTTTGTCATAAACTGCAAATTTAAAAGACGTAGCAAGAGATTTCAGGCATTATACTGTTTTTCTTCATCTATGCAAGTTGTCGCCTTGAATGTGGCAGTATGATCTTAACAATATACATGAAGAATTTATGTGGTCAAAGAATCTTGTCAATTAAGCAAGAATTGCAAGTCTTTTCCCATTTATCTTAGTTTTTTCTTAAGATTAAACCATTACTTACACTTGTACAGTTAGAAATTCATTTTAATAAATGTTATAACAGCTAGACCCAATATTCTTTAACACATAAAGCCACATGAAATTATTAAAATATTTTGGAACATCTTGAAATTCCCCCCACCACACACACACACACAATTCAAAACTGGTCTTCAAAAGATGATTTTTGGGTCCTCAAAAATAAGACTGCCAAAGTATAAAAACGATTGCCCTTACCCATGTCTGACATTTCTGGCACAGTAACGATATATGGTCCATCTGTAAACTTTGGAGCGTTGTCATTAATGTCTTGCACTTTGATGATAAACTCAGATTCAGGTTCAAGAGGCTTGTTTGTCCGCCGGTCAATAGCCTGGGCATGAAGCACATAGTGGGTTTTCTGTTCTCTGTCTAGGCTTTTCGTTGAGTGGATGTCACCTGTGGTATCATCAATGATAAATATAGTCCCTGCACCTTCTCCAGTAAGGATGTACTTGACAGATCCATCACCTTTGTCAGAATTGGAGTGCAGCTGTAAAATACAAATGGAACAATTTAAGATGCAATTATATTCCAATCTCACGTGGTGTTCTCTGAAAATTCCATATCTATAATTTAATACGTAGTTTGATTACGACTTTTCTTCTCTCCACAGTATTCTGTGTGTTACTAGGATCATTTATTTTTCTGAAGTTTTCCTCCACTTGGTATTAATATGGATATTATTAATAATTTTCATCATTATCTATAGAAGAGATCCAATTTGGTTTAAGAGAAATTAATAAACAATACTTATTTTAAAAAAACAATCCTTGAGGTCATTCTACTAAATCAACATTTTACTAACTATACAGAATAGAATTGGGAAAAGAAATTACCAGTAAATCATTGCTGCCTTCCATACCTGTAGGAATAATGTTTTATGTTTTTTTAACTTAATTGTTCACATTCTATTTCAACCTTAAATTTAGAAAAACAAATAAGATAGGACAAATTGAGATCAAAATTAATTACTAAAATTTCCACAATAGAGGCACTTATTCGTTAAAGAGGCATTAATTTATTAATTTGAAAAAATAAAAAGAATACTTTCGACATCGATTGTTTAGATTTAGAATTAAAAGAATATACTGCTTGTGGTAGAATATTTGCATTCTTTAGAGATTATGAAAATTTAACTTAAACAGTAGTGATGGATTTAATCAATGTCAGTCTTAATTTTTAATTAAGATACACTAGTAAATTCTCACTTATTAAAGCTAAAATGATTGAATACTCTTTGAACAGATATTAGAAAAGTAATATTTCAGCAGAAAAGAGGTCTTCAATAAGAAAGATAAATAATATATTAAGATAATCATAAACTACTTTTTTTTCATTTAAACTTCAGTAAATGCTTTTAAACAGTGTATTGCTCGTACTTAACACTCTACTATAACTTGTGACATCAATATTGAGTTAAACATTTCCAGGAATGTCACTACTACACAGTAGCAACAACTGTAGCATTTTCTCAAATTGCAAACATGTATTTGAAGAATTGTACTTCCCAAGAGATCTGAACACTTATCTTTCATATGAAACCTTTCTGGTCACAAAACCTCAGCTACTCCCCTTTTGCTCATTTCTGACACCTGGAAACATTGAAAAAATATAACTTTGTTCACATAGCATTTTGGTTTCTTGCCCATAGTAAAGTGAACATTTTCAAGGTTTATTTTGAAGTCTCTGAAGTCTTAGAAGACATTTTTAAAAAGATAAAAATATAAAAAAAGATAATACACTATGAAAGAAGGACTATTTTTAATGGGAAAAATAAAGGCAACTGAAACATAAATGATAGTATAACAGGAATAATTTTACTTCTTTAGTGAAAACACAAAATCTAAACAGGGAGAAAATTCTGATGAGAATCACTCAGCAAGATTCAACAAATTAAATCATTTCAAAACTACTTTTTTTAGAGTTCTTATAAAAAGGAGTAAAAATATTAGCAAAACAAGAAAAACATAGCCTTTAAATGTGTACACTTTGTTAGTAAATTAACTAGTAAATGCAGAATGCAGAATGAGTTATGTGGAGACGGTTGTATGCACATATGAAAATGTATTTATTTATTTATGTCTCTTGACATATCATTTTAGCATCTAGAAGTAAAGATTTATCATTTATGAAGCAGACACCTACAAAATATCGACACAGCCTGTTTCATATTCTTCAACATTGCTTCAATACATAACCAAAGCATAGCAAAGTAAAGAAACAAATTCACCGAGCAAAGGTTTCTAAAACCTTTTCTGGAACAGTTCCTATTAAATTAGCAGATGGTAAGATAGATTTACCAGCTACTGCTATATTATATACAAATTATAAATCTGTATAAATAAACTGATAAAAAACAGTTTTGAGGAAAGTACTATGCCTTCTAACAACTAATTTCAGAAAGATGTGACAATTGACACACCTTCAGGATATATTTGCATACTCTTCTATGTTTTTAATGAGGTTAATTTGATATGATTTAGTTTTGGATTAAAGATTTGTATAACAAATAGTTAATTATATTTAAAGAAGAAAGGGCTTATATATGTAGACCAGCAACAGAAGTACGTAAATAGTAAAGTTGCCAATCTAATTCATCTAGAAAAAGATTATATACTCTATGCTTTATACAGATACTGGTTAAGTAATTCAGATTTTAAAAATGCCAGTAATTTTATTGCTTTATATTTTAAGACCTGAATCTGTTTCCTATTTATAAAGGTTTTAGAATTAATAAATCACTTAGGTTAAGTATTTTAGAAGTTATGTCCAATTTGAAAATAGATGTGCAATACAACCAGTGAAATGTAATTTAGCAGTGTTTATATTTTTGGATAACATAGTAAAAGTTACATCAAAATATTATAAAAACGTACTTGGATTATGTAAGTTGTCGATAATACTTAGCTTGAATATTTAAATAATGTAGATGATCATTTTATAGTGGATTTTTTAATCTCTCAGCTGGCCCGGTGGAATCTTGAAATGATTAGTTTCCATGTTACACTAATGGGAAATCATCACAGTGCCATTTAGTCAATTGATTAATAGTTTATATGATTATGATGATAACCATTCGTGAAGCAACAAAGTGATCTACCTTCAGGATTACCTCTTCTCTACCATATCCAACCTCAAATCTTCAGTTCTGTTTGCAACATACCCTCTGCAACAGAGGTGGCCCCTGAGAGAAACATTGGCTATATTGTCTCATGTTGCTTAACAAGTGAGTTTTAAGATACTAGAAGAGCACATGTTTTGTATTAGGTTTTGTAAGGCAAGAAACGATGAATGAGTGAATGAATGAATGAATTGGGTGAGCAGTAATGGTAGTAGTAAAGGTAGAAATCAAAACATGGAGAGAAGTCTCTTAGATAACAATTAATCAGAATAAAAATGTGTCATCTTGGAGTGTGGGCAGCAATGAGACACCAGTGAAAGAGACTGGAGTAGAGCATGTTAAGCAGAAATACTCTGGATATAGACATGGTACTGATTTAGTAACCAGTAAAATATTACATTGTACATTTAGCCAGCTACATGTATTTAAGAGAGATTTCTATCATTTTTTACATTGAAATATGTAAAAATCTTTGGAAGATAAAGTTGATTTTAGTCCTATACAATGAACTCCTTTTAGCAGGCAGTTTAGAAATACAACTGACAGAACAGTAGCAGGGTCTTTTCATAACACACAGTGGTGGGAATATACTTTTAGAGTCATGAGGTTTTACAAAGTGAGTGGCGTTTTTACGCTGAAAGATGGATGGTATATTGTCCTAAAGCAAGAAGTGATAATCTTTACGTATCTGATCACATAAAGTGGGGTTAATTAATTGCTTTGTAAAGAACAGAAAAAGGGAGGAGAATGAAGAAAGAAAGAAAAGAACACATAGTCACCTGAGTAAAGCAAAATGAACACTTCTCTGGCAGTACTTTAATAAATTGTCTCTGTCATAGTGTTACATCATAACCTATGGCACTTAGAAAGCTAATGTGACTCACATGAGTTCCCCAGAAAACTATTTATTCACCCTGGACACATTAGGATCAGGACCTAAAAATTTATAGCTTTCAATCTGATGCAGAGTTCCTCACTAAGATAATATCCTATCCCTCAGGGAAGAATAACTTTAAAAGGTTAAGAAGATGGTGGCAGAGTAATTAATTTCGAAAGTTGTTTTAGTTAGGACTTCAAGCTATGTTAAAAAGATAGGTCACTGACTTAAAATTGTAATAATTTAGGCTACATAATTTACGTACTTTTCTATGAGTAGGAAACTTATATTTACAATATTCCAGTGGAAGACAGAATTAAAGTCAGAGATATTATATAGTAATTCCACTATTATTTTCTCCCACACATAAGACACAAGTGATACAGCATGAGAGAAATGTGAGAATAATAGGAAATACAAGTTATTGAAACTTATTATGCACCATTTATTCCAGAATGTGTTATATTTTAGCTAAACTATAAGCAAATGAAATAATACTCAATTGAACTATTTACAAGTGATGTGAAGGAAAAAAATATCAAATAATAACAATCTCTCAGTAACTAACACATAAGTCTATTCATGAAAAAAATGCATAACCATCAGTTTTAATGATGCATCAATTAACATGTAAAAAGTTAAGTTAAAAAGACTATCAATAAAGCTTCATTCAACCACAAAGATAAAGTTGATTAATCCAAATGTTACGAAATTAGATGAGAGTAAGGAAATAAGCTATGCATTTTTTTAACTAGAAGCATCAGAGGTCTTTGTAAACATTCAAAGGTCTCCTGTTCAATTTTGGTTTTTAGCTTCTAATTTCTTTTTTTATTCCTGAGGAAGATTCGCCCTGAGCTAGCATCCATTGTCTTCCTCTTTTATGTGAGTTGCTGCCACAGCATGGCTGCTATCTATATAAGAATAAAAATTCTTGATTATTTGAGAGCCAAAAAAAAAAATAATCTAAGGGTCCAGCTGGAGGGAAATTGTTGTATAAATGATGAATCATCATGAAAATAGTACTATGAATATGTTGGCTCTGAAAACTATCCAAAATTTGTCATTAATTGAGAAAATCATATTGTGGAATAATATGGAGGGTAAGATCTTATTTAGATAAAAAGTATAAATAACAATGAAACTACATATGCAGTAGTATATTCCTATTTATTAACATGAACATATAGAAAGTTAGGGAAAAATATAATCCACGCAAGTTACACTTGATGGAAGGCAGAAAAAGAGGCTCCAGTGCAGTAAGCTGGCCAATTTCCTTTTACGTCTCTTTTCTAGTTTAATTGCTTGAATGAGTATCTATTACTTTTTTATATAAATATTGAGATTTTCTTATTAAATGAGGGTTCTGGGTTTTATTTGGGCCAGTTATGTAGAAAAGTCACAATATATTGCAACCCTCTCTCAAAATGGTAAGAATCATCAGAAAATCTCAGGTACAACCACATTCCCATGCATAGCCTCTAACCTTTGCTTG